GGAGGAATTCGAAGCTCAGGAGGAAGGCACAGGCAGCTCTTGCTGGCGAAACCCAAGCTTTATCAGCGGCAGTAGCGGAAGTATAGCACTTCCAGGTGTTATATCGAGATCTGACTTTTAGTGATGTGGCAGTGCGTGATGGCCATCGCCGTTCAGGTTCGTTTTACTACGGCACTCAGAAGGAATTGTGCCCGTAGTTCTAGAGAGCAACAAGTGTATGTAGTAGATGCCAAGTCCATCTATTACACTATGCAGAAAGAAGGAAATGCTAGCGCTCAAGATAGGAAACACTTGAGCAAGCTCGTGACAAGATTCGTTGGACCCGTCATGGCCGAATGCCCCTTGATGCACTTACAGAGGACGACATCACAAAGTGAAACGCTGCTGTGTTCGAGTTGATGACGAGTGGTAGATCGATCTTGGTAGACGAGGGTCTAGAGGTGGCCAAGAGAAAGGACGACCCTGGCCTCAAGAATCGCTCCCAAGCGGCCTCCAGAAAGGTGTTGGATGGCGACCGTGTCCTGACCTCCTGGCAGGAGTTTGTGACCCCAGGCTCCGATGATGGTGGTGGTGGGTCGGTCGGGTGCCTTTCTCCTTCCCTCTCCACCTCACTCTCCCTCTCATCCGACTTTTCAGGAATTCCAGTCTCGTCCCTGCTATTTCTCGTAGTGATGCTGCTGATAATTCGGCGGTGGACGAACCTCCGTTTAGAAAACCTCCCCTTAGTGAAAACGGCCTGGGACCGAAACCGACGGACCTGGACCCGCCAAAATAACGGCCGCGACGCCCTCTCGCGAACCGAAAACGGCCAATTCCTGAATCGGCGTGTCAGGGTAGGAGGTCTATCCACCCCCGAATCACGGTCGTCGTGCTGTGTTCGTCTCGCCGCCATCCGACTCTGGGGCCGACGGAGGCAGCGGGGGGCCTCGGCAGGGCGAGGCCTCGCGCCAGGCAGTCTTGCTGTGTGATTGTCCGTGGAGGCTGCCCAGTCAAATGGGCAGCTGAACCTGGAAGAAAGCGTCGGGCACGTGGAAGGATGCCTGTTTTGTCAGAGCAAGTTTAGCTCTGTGGATGCCATCACAATGGACACTCTAACAATCAGATCATTGACTTAAACATGTGTTTTACATGTGTAAGACATGTTCTGAACATGTTTCAAACATGTTTTCACGTAGTTAAACCATGCTTGACACATGTTGTAGACATCTGGCAATCATTTGGCAACATGCTTCCTCTCCATTAATCGACTTCCACAAGCTCATGGATGTGCACTCCGTTGTCTTTCTGGCTCAAGTCCGAAACACATCCGGGGGGATGACTGCTGCCGCAGGCTTGTATTTCGAGTTACATGCTGGTTTGCATTCCAAGCTGCGTTTCGATTGCAACTTGAACTCGGATGCGCGTTCTTCCCAAGACAGCCACGAGACAGCGAGACAAACACGGGACAGCCGCGAGGCACCCACGGGACACCTCACGAGAAAACCACGGTGCAGTTCCAACTCTTCGCCTCCCCCGCGAGATGGGACACAACCTTCTTCCCGATTGAGCCCTAGCAGTGGCCGACACATCGTCGCCCTCGCACCTCGCCCGCACGCTCGACACGAGCCGAAACCAGCATCGAACTCACAGCTGGGGCCACTCCGTTCTTACCTGCGAGCCTCCGGCTAGAAAGGGTGGGCGATGAATGCGAGATGGGCGCCGGCGCAGCTGTGTCCCACCCCTGAGGGAACGAATCGCAGCAACGGTCTTTCGAGAGGAGTGCCGAAGCCGATGGGCTACTGGGGGGGGCTCGAAGTATTCACCAAGTCGCCTGGTCGGCCAAGGAGCTCGGCGTTTCCACGCCTCGGCTTCTCTGGCTCCCCGGCCGGGCAGGCGACGAGGTTTGCAGGTCGAGCTCCTCCGAACCACCCAAGAGGGGGGGGGGGGGGCAAGAACCATTGCTCCCTCGGCTGTGGCCGATGTGGGGCGGTGGGCGCGGAGCGTCTCGAGTAGACGGTGTACAGGAACATGCCGAATATCAAGGTGTAGAACAGCGCGACGAGGCAACGACCCAGCCCCAGGTCCCCCTCCGGGTCCTCGGACTGGGCGAACGTGCCGGACGGGAGCAACGCCTCCCTCCTCCCATCCTCTTTCCTCTCACGCTCCCGTCCATCCCCGTCCAGCCTCATCCCTCCTTCTCCTCCTCCTCCTCCTCCTCCTCCTCCTCCTTCTCAATCCGCGGCCCTCCCTGCTCCCTCCCACTTCCCTCCTCCTCCTCCTCCTCCTTCTCCTCCTCCTCCTCCTCGCGTTCCCTCCTCGCTCCTCCCTCCTCCCTCCTTCCTCCTCCCTCCTCGTCGGTCCTAGTCGGTCTTCTCGGTCCCTCGCGTGAGCTCGGTTGAGTGACCCTCTCGTTCGGTCCCTCGATCGTCCCCTCCTTCTTCTACCCTTCTCCTCCTCCTCCTCCTCCTCTTCTTTTTACCGTTCCTCCTCCTCCTCTTCCTCCTGCTCCTCCTCTTCATCTTCCTCCTGTTCTCTTTCTTTCTCTCTCTCTCTCTCTCTCTCTTTCTTCCCCTCTCTCCCTCTGCCCAGAAGGTGGAAGGGAAAGAAGGAGGAGGGAGGAAAGAGGACGACGATAATATTAAGACGACCACGACGACGACGACGACGACGACGACGACGACGACGACGACGACGACGACGACGACGACAGCGGTGGCGGCGGCGGCGGCGACAGACAACGACGCCCGACGGCCTCCTCAGGTCCCTGGAAGGCTCCGGAGGTCTCTGGAGATCGGAATTTTTGCCAGCGTGGACCCAAAACGGTGGATTCTTGCACTCTCGTGTGAACTCTCCGTGGTACAACCTATGAGATGCAACCGATGTGGAACAAAGCACGTTTGGCTACTGCAGAAACACGACGATCACCTTGCAGGACTTGATGCCGCCAACTCCACTGATCGCACAATCACCCTACCCTCCCACCCGCAACTGGTTTTGTACAACCCATGCGGCCCCGGCTGAGGTGACTACTCGGCATTGACTGGCGCGTCTCTGCGGCTGCGGCAGCGCGCGCAAACTCGCGCGCAGAGCGGCCAGCTGGTTTGGCACAACCGACACGGCCGCAATGGCGCTTACTGATAGAAATTTCCCGGCTCGTCTGAAAGGCCGCGCTGGCGCACGGGCACTTCAGTGCGGGTCGGTAACACGGGCGGGCGCGACATCATGATGGCGTCGGCAACGGCGGCAAGGATGATGATAGCAGTGCTGGCGGTGGCGTCAATGACGATGACGACGGCAAGGCCAAAGATGGCGCCGACGATGCTGCTGATGACGACGGTAGGCTGCCAATGACGGCACCGACGATGCTGACTCTGCCGATGATGATGGCGGCAATGGCGGCGATTGACGATGAAGATAACAGCGGTGATGTGGTGGCGCTGATGAACGTGATGGCGGGAAAGTGCGCACGCGCGCGGAAATTAGAGGAAGAAAAAAGAGCATAAACATAAGCTTTTGGCGCTCCGCCGGATTTCTGGGATCTGCGCTGGACCCCCCTCCCTGGCGCGCGGAGCGCGCCAGGGGCGGCGCCGGAGGCGCCGCTGGGGGGTCCTGGGCGCCGATCCAAGAAATCCGCGCAGAGCGCCAAAAGTTCATACACCCTGCGAAATGCTTTGGAAATCATGGGTTTAAAAATTCATAGTCTCAGAATTGGAATTAAAACCCAGAACGTCTATTCAAATCTCAGGGTTCACATTGAAACATTAAGAATGAACGAGGCTCTGGCCGAAAACTTGGGTTTTCTTAAGCATCGCCTGGAGTGTATGTCTATGGCGTTCGAACAAACATGTGGTTCTCACATGATCTCATATGCGTCACCGCCGGTGTTGGCGCGGCACCTCGACGGCGCGCGTGCGCGGTGGCGCGCGCGTGGCCCGCCCGATGCGATCTGCGACGGATTCTCGCGCACCGGACGCATGCCAGGTCACCGCGGGTGCACCGCGCGGTGAGATGCGACCGCGGTCTCTTGAACGAGGCTGCTAAAATTACTCCAGATTTCGTGAAAAAAGGGAGGGGGTCACAACCCTCCCAGACGAGAAGTTTTAGGCCCCCCCAGACCATCCATGAAAGGCCGGCCATTTGTCCAGACCCCCCCGAATCCTCCAAGACAGCTCAAATCAGACCCCCCCCAAAATGTGACCCCCCCCCCACTTTATCATGGAATCTGAAGTATGTTGGGCATGCCCTCCTACAGGCGGATTTTGAGGGAAAATATTAAAGACTGTCAAACAATGCTCGTTACATAGCCAAAACATAATAGAAACATAATCGTCCCCAGACTATCTTCCTATGTTTGAATTTTCTTCCTGCAGAGGGACATGCCCGACTTCATGCTAAATTCATATGCTCTCCGATGGTCTCAACACACGCGCGCGGGCAGAGAACCAGCAAGACTTGCGATGAGATGGCCTGTATGCTTTTGATGCTTTCGCGCGGACGATCTCGGAAACCCTGAACCCCAAAACGTGTTCATCTCGTGGGGACGTGTTCTTCACCTCCGCCGCCCTCCGCCGCCCTTCCGCCGGCTTCCGCCGGCGGAGGCGGCCTCGCTTTACTTCCGCCGCCCTGCCGCCGCCGTCCGCGGCGGACGAGATGACGACTCCTCCGAGCCTCGAAGGCAGGGCCCTTTTATGGAACGCCCCACGTTCGGCTAGACGTAAGAGTGACCCTGGGTAAGCGTGACCTTTGGTGCGCAGCCGTCGGGGGCGCGAGGGAGCCAAGCCCAAACGCGCGGGCCGCTTAATTATGTCGCGACGCGCTCGGCGATCCGGTGGAGCCCGCTGAGCCCGCACCCAAAAGTCACTCCGGCGAAGGTTACCAGCCTGGAGCATCTCCCTATCCCTATGTTGGGCATCGCCTCGTCACGATGGCGATCTTAGGGATTTCCTCAGTTTCTGAGGGTGCATCCCTAAGATTGCCATCTCCTTTTAGCGTGTCAATCTCAGGGATCGGGATACGTTCGAGGCTGGTGAGAAGGGCCACTCTCACGGGAAGCCGACGCGTCGAAACCCCAGCACGAGGAGGAGGAGGAGGGAGGAGGAGGAGGGAGGAGGAGGAGGAGGAGGGAGGAGGAGGAGGAGGAGGGGGGAGGGGAGAGGGGGAGGGGGGGGGGAGGGGGAGGAGGCGAGGAGTGAGAGGAAGGAGGAGAGGAGGAGGAGGTGGAGGAGGAGGAGGAGGAGGAGGGAGGAGGAGGAGGAGGAGGAGGAGGAGGAGGAGGAGGAGGAGGAGGAGGAGGAGGAGGAGGAGGAGGAGGTCGCCCGACACGCCAGCCAGCACACGGGGCGGCGGCGCGCGCGCACTGCGCCCGACCCCCTGGCCCCCCCGCCCCAAGGCGGCCGAGCCGTCGCAACTGGCGGCGACCGGGCGCCTGCGGGGCGAGGGCACGAGGGAGCACCCGGGGAGACCAGCCAGCACGCCATGGAGACCCCCAGGAGCCCCCCCCCCCCAGGGAAGCCCCCCAGGAGGCCCCCAGCACGCCAGAAGGCCCCCAGGAGCCCCCCCCCCTCCAAGGGGCTCCCACGAGGCCCCCCGAAGATTCCCCCCCCCGGGGGGGCCCCAGAGCCTTCCCAGGAGACCCCAAGCAGCATCCCTGAGACCTCGGGCCCACGTCAGCGACGTCGTCGCCGCCGCCGCCGCCGCCGCCGCAGCCATCGTCGTCAACGGCCCCCTTCAGGGTCGGCGGCACAGGCCGTGAGGCATTCGAAATCGCCCAGGAAGATCAGCACGCAAGAGCCAGGCACTGTCTCGGGGGCAGCAGGGCCACGACGCTCCAACAAAAACCCGATCCTCCAGAAGCCGACGACGACGATGGCGCCGACGATCGACGGCGACGGCGGCGACCATGGCGGTCACGACGACGACGAAGACGACGGCGACGACGACGACGACGGCGACGGCGACGGCGACGGCGACGGCGACGGCGAAGACGATCGACGATCGCGGCGGCGACCTTGGCAGCGACGACGAAGACGACGATCGACGAATGCGACGACGACGACGACGACGACGACGACGCGCCTCCTTCGCCCGCGCCCACCACCCGTGGGGACGGGGCGCCGCGGCGACGGCGGGCGGCCCGGCGGCCTCCGGCATTCAGTCACTCCATTGTGGCGGGGCAGGGGCGGGCAGGGGGGGATACAGCAGGGGCCCGACCACAAGAAACCTTACCATGCGCGGTCAGGATGCGCGGGTGCGCGGTCAGGATGCGCGGTCAGGATGCAAGGGCCTTGGAGGCCCATGCGAACGTTTTCCGAACGAGGTTGGCCAGCGAAAGTCGCTAAGGATGGGCCGAATGGGGCAAGGATGCAAGGGTACCCTTGGGAAGGTTGCCCATCCTTACCATGCGGGTTGACTGTACCCTCAGGATGGCCCCACGAGATGGGCCCAAGAGGTCCCGAGACTGCCTCCGAGACACCTCCAAGGCGGTCACAAGACGGCCCAAGGCCGCGCCCACGCACTCCCCGCGACGGCTCAAAGACACCCCAAAACAGCCCCCCCAGACACCCCACGTGACGCCAAGATGGCCCTCGGGTACAGTAGGGGCCCGACCACAAGAAATCTTCCACAGGAAACCCAAGCCTGAGACCCCAGGACGTCCATAGATTTTTGGCGAGGGGAACGTCACGGACCTTCTTAGGCGCCTCTCGGGAGGCGAAAGCCGAGGCGGCCATACAGCGAGGGCCAGTCCGCAAGAGACCTTCCACAAGAAACCCAGCCCTGAGACCCCAGGACGCTAATGGATTTTTGGTGTGGGAACGTCACGATTTCCGCGGCAAAACCGTCGAAGCCCAAGAAACCCAGGGCACCCTGGAGGCAAGCAGGGTGTTTCTTGGCACGGGCCCCCCACTGTAGGAACAGGGAGAGGCGACACCCGCACCAGGGCGAGGAGCTGCGAGGAGGCAAGGGGCTCTCCCTGGTGGAGTGGCCCCCCCCCCCTCTTGCTCGAGACATCCAGCTCGGCGAGGCATCCCCCTGGTGTTGGTGTCGCTTCTCCTCCCTCCCACCCAGGGGGGGGGGGGGGCGGGGCGCACCCGGGGGCGGCCCTCTCGCCGCGGTCCGAAGCGGCCGGCTGCACGCGCAAGAGCTTCGAGCGGCCCTCGGCAAGCTCGTGCCGTGCGCTGCAAAGAGAGTGCGGCAATAACAGCCGTCCCGTGTCACAAGGATGGGCGGTGAGGATACAAGGGCCTTGGAGGGTCAACTTGACGCTTTTCGAAGGAGGCTGGCCGGCGAAAGTCGCCAAGGATGGGCCGAATGGGGCAGGGATGCAAGGGTACCCTTGGGAAGGTTGCCCATCCTTACTATGCGGGTTGAGTGTAGAAAATGGGTCATCCGCGCACTTCGCGGGCCCGTCTCGGAATCCGCCCGTCGGCCCGCGCACGGGCCTCCTGGAGTCTCCAGCATGTGTCAAGACAGGCAGGCCCAAGACGCCTCCAGATGACCCCAGGACGATTCCAAGACGGCCCAGAGAAGGCCCCCAAAGTGCCCAAGATGACCAACATTGATCCCGGGATAGCTTCAAGAGGCCCCAAACTAATCCCCAAGGGGCCACAATAGGCTCCAGTATGACTCCGTGGAGAGCCGAACGTAATACATATAGTTGGTTGTACATGTTTGCTGTTTGGCACCTTTTCGCTGCAGATGTCCCTCAGTTGGACCGAAGAAGCCCCAGAGAAGGTCCACGAGACTCCCGAGACGCTCCCAGACATTCTAGGAGGCCCCCAGATACAGCCAACCCGTATCATAAGGATGCGCGGTCAGGATGCAAGGGCCTTGGAGGCCCATGCGAACGTTTTTCGAACGAGGTTGGCCAGCGAAAGTCGCTAAGGATGGGCCGAATGGGGCAAGGATGCAAGGGTACCCTTGGGAAGGTTGCCCATCCTTACCATGCGGGTTGACTGTACCCTCAGGATGGCCCCACGAGATGGGCCCAAGAGGTCCCGAGACTGCCTCCGAGACACCTCCAAGGAGGTCACAAGACGGCCCAAGGCCGCGCCCACGCACTCCCCGCGACGGCCCAGAGACACCCCAAAACAGCCCCCCAGACACCCCACGTGACGCCAAGATGGCCCTCGGGTACAGTAGGGGCCCGACCACAAGAAATCTTCCACCCAGCCCTGAGACCCCAGGACGTTCATGGATTTTTGGTGAGGGGAACGTCACGGACCTTCTTGGGCGCCTCTCGGGAGGCGAAAACCGAGGCGGCCATACAGTGAGGGCCAGTCCGCAAGAGACCTTCCGCAAGAAACCCAGCCCTGAGACCCCAGGACGCTAATGGATTTTTGGTGTGGGAACGTCACGATTTCCGCGGCAAAACCGTCGAAACCCAAGAAACCCAAGATGGCCCTCGGGTACAGTAGGGGCCCGACCACAAGAAATCTTCCACAGGAAACCCAAACCTGAGACCCCAGGACGTCCATGGATTTTTGGCGAGGGGAACGTCACGGACTTTCTTGGGCGCCTCTCGGGAGGGGAAGGCCGAGGCGGCCATACAGCGAGGGCCAGTCCGCAAGAGACCTTCCGCAAGAAACCCAGCCCTGAGACCCCAGGACGCTAATGGATTTTTGGTGTGGGAACGTCACGATTTCCGCGGCAAGACCGTCGAAACCCAAGAAACCCAGAGCACCCTGGAGGCAAGCAGGGTGTTTCTTGGCACGGGCCCCCCCTGTAGGAACAAGGACGTCCATTGATTCTTTGTGAGGGGAACGTCACGGGCCCTCTTGGGCGCCTCTCGGGCCGTCTTGGAGGCCCTGGAGGGCGGCCACAGAAACCCGCATCATTTTGGTATGCTTTTCGCAGTGCCGCCTTGTCGATCCTCAGAGCGTTCAAGACAACAGCAAGGGCGCCCGGGATCGCCCCCAAAACGGCCCAAGGGCCCCCTAGAGAGGCCCAAGACGGCCTCGAGAGGCGCCCAAGATGGGGAACACGAACTGACATTTCGAGCCCTCCGCCCCAAGATGGCCCCAAGATCCTCCGAGGTGCGCCCAAGGCCCAAATCAGGCCCCAAAAGGCCCCCCAAGACGCTCCACGACTCCCCGCAAAACGCCTCCGAGAGGCCTCCCAAGAGATGCTCGCAAGTATCCAGGAGGCCTCTGACCTACAACCCAGGCGCGGTGGCGGGATGGGCCGGAGGTCACTAGTGCCGCCGCCCCCTGGCTTGCCACAGGGGTGCCCGGCGTGCTAGACCCTACTGGTTTGGTTATAATTCTTTTCCAAAAAGAACTCCCCCATAGTGATTCGGCCCGTCCCGCCACCATGCCTTTCGCTCGAGACATCCTCAACCATCGTGATCTTGGGGATCCTGGCCCAAGATGACTGATGATAAAAATGAGCGCTTCGCCTGAGACATCCTCGAAAAACAACGCCGACTGGCCACGTAGAAGGCTGCTCGCGAGGTGGTTCCAAAATTTGCTTCCGCCAAAAAACGTGGTATATGGGATCCTGGCTCAAGCCGTCTTATGATAAAATTGAGCGTTTCGCACGAGACATCCTCGAAACATGGGGATGTTTAAATCGATGGCCTCATCCCCGGATCTGCAAAATGGCATTGTTGCTGCAGACATGCTCAACAAAAATGAAAATCTGCAAAAGAACGCAGTCGGAGCGCTCTCGGATGACCTCCAAGATTACCCAAGAAGCGCAACTACTGAAAACCCTCAGGATTTTTGCACTTCTGTTCAAACGTAAGCGTTTCGCTCGAGACTTCCCCTCCAAACTGCCTTCGGGTGCGCTCTCGGATGAACTCCAGGATGGCCCCTTCCTCCTCCTCCTCCTCCTCCTCCTCCTCCTCTTCTTCCTCCTCATCCTTCTCCTCTTCCTCCTCCTCCTCCTCCTCCTCCTCCTCCTCCTCTTCCTCTGTTCGCCATCGTCCTCCACTTCCTCCTCCCACTCCTCCTCATCCCACGTGTGTTCCCCGAATGCCCTTCTGACCAACTCGGGGAACACATGGTCCGACGTCTAGGCCAAGCTCTAGCCCCCACGTTCCACCACGGATGCGGTTCAACAAAAGCAGGGGTCGGCGGTGATTCGCCGTAGGCGTCTTCGATCCGCCGCCCCCTGCTGGCTTGCCACAGGGGTGCCGGGTGTGCTGAACCTTACTGATTTGGTTTGGGTTTTGTTCCAGAAGGACTCTCCCCTGGGGCTTCGGCGTGTCCCGCTGGCCACCCGGAAGACCTGGTTGCCAAAATTGTCCTGGTCCAGATGGCTCAAAGATGGCCCTCAGTGGCTTCCAGGATGGCCAAGAGGAGACGGCCCCAGAGAGCCCAAGATGGCCTCCAAGACGGCCCAGGAGGCCACCAAGAATGCCCAAGATGGCCTCAATATGGCCCAAGACTAGGGGGACAAAAAGTGGCATAAACATAAAAGCTCGGAGGTCCGCGCTGATTTCTCGGATCGGCGCTGGACCCTCCTCCCTGGTGCGCGGAGCGCGCCAGGGGCGTCGCCGGAGGCGCCGCCAGGGGGGCCCAGCGCGAGTCCGAGAAATCCGCGCGGACCTCCAAGTTAATTATGTTTGTCTCATTGCTCGTTCCCCTAAAGATGGCCCCAGACGGCCCAAGATGCCCCCGAGAGGCCTCCAAGGCTGCCCAAGAGGCCTCCAAGAGACCTCCGCGGGCTGTCTGCGCGAACCGCTAGGGACACGGACAGGGATCTCAACATGGGCGGAAGCAACTCTCGAGGCGCGGCGCAGGGCTGGCGTCTTCTGTGTTTTGCTGCGAGGTGCCGACGCACCCACGCCTTGGCTGCTAGCCTGAGGTCGGGCGTGTCCTCCTACAGGCTGGTTTCGGACGAAAAATCGAAATGAATCCAAACATATGCCAACAATGCTCAAACATTATATATAGTCGTCATATTACTTCGTACCGATGTTTGAATATGCCCCCCGTAGAGGGACACGCCCGACGTAAGTCTGGCGTCTTCTGTTTTTGCTACGAGGTGCCAACACACCCGCGCCTTGGCTTCTAGCCATGGCACACACGCTGGTGCTCTTCGAGCTGCGCGTTGCCGCCGCCCTCTTTAGGGGAGCGAGCAATGACATAAACGCAAAACAACCCTGAAGGGGAACTGGGACACACAAATAAATACACACAAATGGAAAGATCCCCCATATTTCCCCATAGTTTCCGGGTTTTTGTCTTCCCCCCCACTTCCCATATTTTCCCATATGTTCTGGGAATCGCCGATTAATTGTGTCTGTGTGTTTTTCCCCTCCTGAAGTGGCTCGGAGGTCCGCGCGGAGCTCCGAGTTGTTGCGTTTGTGCCACGTTTTCGCTCCCCGATTCCTGCGGCGCGCAGGGCAAGCGCGCGGGCTTCGGCGTCGGCCGACACGGCGCACGCCCGCGGTGCCCTGCGTCGGGAGCGCGGGGCGCACGGGCAGACCGCAGCAGAAAATCACTCCCAAGTTGGCACGAGCACGCCCGGCTTGTCGAATCCGTCACGACCGTGGTGGTGCATTCTGTCAGCACGTGGGGCTCAGACGCCTAGCAACTTGGCACCGAAAACTTGCAGGACATCAGGAGGCCTGGCAAAAGGCCTTCGGAACTGAAAACCACTGCCCCCCGCCGCCTCGCCTCGAAACCGAAAGGACCCGGCCGCGCTGGAGGGCGAGGGGGAGTTATCACTCATGCCGAGGACGAGAACGACGAGGCTGTGCATGCAAGGAGGTTCTTGAAGGTAAGGGCAACGTGCGATGCCATACTGTGTCTTAAAGTAGCCATGGCCAGTCGCAGAAATGCCTCGAAGCCTCAGAATGCTGGGGCAGGCCACGCAGATACGAATCATGCGCAAAGATAAAGCAGGGTTGACCAACATTCGTGATCCTCTTGATCTTCCGCCTGGTCCTCTTCCTCCTCCTCCTCCTTCCTCGACCTTGTCCACGACGACGAAGACGAGGAGGTTTCGGAGGCTGTGACGACCCGTCGCTCCTCCTATCCCCTCTCCTCGAGTCCCGTCCCCCCCCTCCCCTTCCTCCTCCCAGCCCCCACTCCTCCAACACCTCCCCTCGTGCTGCGCATAACAAGCGCTGCGCAGAACACGTGATGCACTGAGCGCACGCCGCGAGCAGTGGCCTCCTAGTGACACCGCACCCGTCACCGCACAACGCCAGAGCCTCTCGCCAGAGGGGCAAACAGCATCGGCACTGTGCGCAGACGACCGCCGACGCCAGCCCCAACCCGCAGTCTCAGGCGCAGAGCTGCTTCCAGAGGGCGAGGGCCTCGTCCATCTGCTCTTGGGTGATGTCGTTGAAGAGGCGCGCGACGCCATGGCCCGTGGGCAGCGGTATCTTCTGGCCCTGCGAGAACTTGATCCGCTCCTTGAGCGAGAAGGCCACCTGTGCGGAGTTCATCTTCTCGTGGTAGACGGGCAGCTTGAGGCCTCGCGCCGTCGCGATGATGGACTCGAGGTACGGCATGCTGATGTGGCCGCGCACGTGGGCGAGGACGGACGAGAAGATCATGTCGATCGCGACGGCCTCGCCGTGGAAGAGCTTCTCGTCGTGCAGCACCGACATCTCGAGCTCCATGGAGAAGACGTGCCCAAAGTCGACGAGCCGCTCGAGGGAGTCCTCCCATAGGTTGGGCGCGAGCTCCTCGAGCATCGTCTGGATGGCGAGATTGAGCACGCGAGCGGAGGCGACGGAGCCGCCGGCGTCAGCGTCCTGGAACTTGCCGTCGATCAGCTCCTCGCCGTAGTTGGCGAGCAGATCGTACAGTTCACCGTCCTTGACAAGCGCCATCTTGAGGATCTCGGCAGCACCGTTGGAGAGCTGACGCTGGTCGAGGGAGCCGAGGAAGGAGCGGTCGAGCAGCGTGAGCGCCGGCGGCAGGTAGGCGCCGAGCTTGTTCTTGTGGCCAGCGAAGTTGACGCCAGTCTTCGCACCGATGCTCGCGTCGACGTACCCCATCACCGTCGTCGGCACGCGAATGTACGGCGTGCGACGGCGGTAGATGGAGGCAGCGAAGCCGACGATGTCCATGCACACGCCTCCTCCGATGGCGATGACGGGGTCGAGGCGGCGGTCGATGCCGAGGTCGTGGATGGTCTCGGCGATCTTGAGCACCATGTCCATGTTCTTGTGCTCCTCGTTCGTCGGCAGCACGAGCAGCCGGTGCTCGACGTTGTGGTGCTCGAGGTAAGCTTTGATCTTGTCGCCGTAGATCGCGAACACGTTGTCATCGACGACGACCACGCGCTTGACGGCGCGCGACAGAGCACGGGAGAGCATCTCGACATTGCCGTCGAGGAAGCCGAATAGGAGGTCGGTACTCGACGGATCGAGGATGTCGACGCTCTCGCGCACTTTGTAGCTAAATGTGATCGGCGACTCGACCGTCCACTCGGTCGAGGCGCCGTGCTGCTGCTGCAGGAGCTGCGCGTTCGAGACAACGGCCGCGCCGGCCACGTCGTCGCTGATGCGCCAGGCGTCCTCGTCCGCTGGCTTGTGGAGCTGCCTCCGGGGCTGCTCGATCACAAGGGAAGGTGTCGACTTCTTGAGCTCCCGCACGGCCGAACGCGGGATGCGCGTCAAGCGCAGGCCGACGTTGCGCTCCGCGGCGGTGCGCTCCGCTGCAGCCCGCGAGGGTGCCGCCACAGTGGACGCAGGGGGGGCAAAGGCCGAGCCCGCACCACCGCGGGAGGCCAGGCGGCAAGCGCTCGCGGCCAGGAGCAGGGCGAGGGCTTTGCTGAGCAGCTGGCGCTGCGCCGGCATGCCTAGAGCTGGGGGAGGGCTGCGGACGTTGGCGAGAAGGATTCGGAAGATGCTGGTCCTCTGATCCGAAGGAGTGCTGCCTTGAGCCAAAATGGCTGTGGATGCGTATTGCCTTCGCATCGCTTCGTTTAGATTAACTTGGGCTGTGGAGCTGGCTGTAGATTTACCGTTCGCCCTAGCTCCTGCTACTTGTTCGATCTGCAACCAAGCTTCTCATTGTCAGCATTTTACATATCAGTGCTGTGTTTGCGGGCATGAGTTTCAATATGACTTCTTCCCACGGCTGTGGTCTCTGTGTTCTACAATAGGAAGGGGACATACAAGGCAAAGATGAGGAGAAGAACAAGGCGGCCAGGCTGGCAGAGGAACGGAATGTACGAGGTCGACGAGGACGAGCATGAAAAGAGAAAAAGGAATAAAGAGCGGAGAGGCGAGAGAGGAAGTACAAGCAACGGTCAACAAAACATCACCCGGGCGACTCCACCGTAAAACCTCCATGGGGGGGTGTCCATCCGGAAGGAACGAACTTCTGGGGCGCGCCCGGGATCCCAGGGGGTCCGGTTTCCGCGGAAGAAGAAAACTCGCTCGAGGGGTTCGAGCACGGAGGAGGAGGAGGAGGAGGAGGAGGAGGAGGAGGAGGAGGAGGAGGAGGGGGGAGGAGGAGAGGAGGAGGAGGAGGAGGAGGAGGAGGAGGAGGAGGAGGAGGAGGAGGAGAAGAGGAGGAGGGGGGGGGGGGAGGAGGGGGAGGGAGGAGGAGGAGGAGGAGGAGGAGGAGAGGAGGAGGAGGAGGAGGGGAGGAGGAGGAGGAGAGGAGGAGGGTGATGAGGGGCTCGAGCACGGGGATTACCCCCCTTGCTTGGGGGAGGAACGAACTCTCAGCCGCGGGGGTGCCCGCGCGCGGGGCCCGCCCCCCCCCCCCCCCAGTGCAGCAGGAGGGGGGAAAGCGCGCGAGCCGGAGTGCAAGCAGCGTGCAGCAACACTCGAGTCGTGATTGTGCTGGGAGAGTTGTACTGGTACCAGGGTGTTATGGCCCCCCCCTTGCTCCCCTCCTCCTCATCCTCCTCATCCTCCTCCTCCTCCTCCTCTACCTCCTCCTCCTCCTCCTCCTCCTCCTCCTCCTCCTCCTCCTCCTCCTCCTCTTCCTCCGCCGGCTCCTCCTCACCCTCGTTTTCATCTTCGTCGTCTTCAGGGTCGGCGGCACCGGCCGTAAGGCCTTCGCAATACCAGGGAGTCATGATAGAGAATCGTACCGTGAGCTGCCACCAGAGCGCGTTTGAAGGATGTGTGCCGTGGCTCCCCCGTGTGACTGAAGTGGTTCGCATTGCTACCGCGCGTTTCTGTCGGGCCCATGGAGGGGTGGGGAGGGGGGCGAAAGAGGGACTCGGGCGCGCAGGATCAGGCAACGCCTGGTGGCGGAGTAGGGGGCGGCGCTCACGGACCAGGATCACTTCTGAAGCACGGCGGCGGCGCCGAGCGACATGGCAGTAGTGGTGTCCAACTGAGCGGCCCGCCACACGAGGAAGGCAGGCTTCTCGCACGGGGCAGGCCTCCTGGAATTGCCAAAGTTCTACGAGCACATCTCGCGCCAGGCGCTCCAGCGAGAGGCAGAGTTGGTGGCCTTCCCTGGGGAGCTCATACGTCTCCTATGAGTGAGCTACAGGATGCCGCGGAGGGCGAAGTGGGGCGAGACGGTCAGTGACGAGCTGGAGGTGAACGGCACGCTGGCGGCAGGCTGGTCCTGCGCCACAGGGCTGGCAGATGTAATGATGCACAGGACGTTGCGCCTGCTAGCCAAGGAGTGCCCGCTAGTCAGGTAACATAACGTGGTGGACGACGTGCTGGTGCAGGCGGCAGGCAAGACGGAGCAAGTCAGGAAGCAGCTTCTCCAGGCGATGCTGAGACTGGTGGACCTGCTCGAGGCGAAGGACCTGGTGGTGGCGTGGCACAAGACCATGCTCATGGCAGGCAGCGAGGCGACAACCAAGATCTTGAAGCTCGCGCTCGCGGAGTCGGGCATCGTGCATGCGAGGGCGGCGGGGGCAAGGAACCTCGGCTGCGACGCGAGCGACGGCAAGGGGAGGAGGACAGGGGAGCAGGGCACGAGGACGGCGAGGGTGGCGAATGCGGCAGGACGGGCGCACGTGCTCAGGGCGGCGGGTGCCGAGGCGAGCGGCCGCCCGCAGAGGAGCAGCCCGACAGCGACAGCGAGAGCGAGAGAGAGAGAGAGAGACACACACACACACACACACACACACACACACACACACACACACACACACACACCACACACACACACACACAGATTCCCTTTTCTATATTTTTATAATCCTGGGGGGTGGGAGAACCCCCCCCCCGAAATAGGATCCTCCCCAACCGGGACTTCCGGAAACGGGACCCCTCACGAGGATCGCAGCCTCCGAGCGCGAAAATTAGCGCTCTCCGTCCAAAGAGGAGGGTGAGAGGACACGCGAGGCTCCTTGGACCTCCCGAGAGGCTTTCTCGAGGCTCCTACGAAGGCCCAAGAGGGTCCCAAGAGCCTTCCAGAGTCCTCCGAAGAAGCCCCCGAGAGATGAACATCAGTGATTTCCTATGGTTTTTCTAAAAATTTTGCTTCTTTGCATGTTCACTGTTCCGACGTGCCAAGACGGCCGAAGACGCCCACAAGACCGATGCCAGACGGCTCAAGAGGCCTCCAAGCGAGTCCGAAACCGGCCCAAGACAGCCCCGACACGGCCCAAGGGGTGCCCAAGACGGCCCCAGAGAGCCCCAAGACGGCCTTCAGAAACGGCACCCCTCACGAGGATCGTAGCCTTCCAGCGCGAAACTGAGCGATCTTCGTCCGAAGAGGCACCTACGAGGGTACGCGAGGGTCCTCGGGTTGCCTTAAAAGCTTCTTAAAGGTTCCCCCGACAGCTTGAGAAGGCCCCACGAACCTCGCAGAGTTCTCGGAAGAAGGCCCCAAGAGATCAAAATCATTAATTTCCTGTGGCTTTCCTAAGACTTTGGCTTCGTTGCATGTTCACTGTTCCGACGTGCCAAGACGGCCGAAAACGCCCACAAGACCAATCCCAGAGGGCCCAAGCAGCCTCCAAGCGAGTCCACA